TATCTATCTATCTATCTATCTATCTATCTATCTATCTATCTATCTATCTGGCAGAGAGAAAGAGAGCACAAGCAGGGGGAGTGGCAGGCTCCCCGCTGAGCAGGGAGCCCAATGCGGGGCTCGATCCCAGGATTATGACCTGAGCCGAAGGCAGACGCTTAACGACTGAGCCACCCAGGCACCTCAAGATGGTAAATTTTGTTCTGTATATTTTACTGCAAGTAGAAAAAATGGGGAAAAAGTGAGCTGTGAAAAAAGCTTAAAAGACGCACAATGCTGAGTGCTGTCGAGGATATGGAACAGCTGAAACTGTGTATGAAGTTGTACAACCACACTGGAAAACTGGAAGAATCTGCTAAAATGAAACATGCCTATCCTCTGACCTGACCCAGTAATTCCCAAGATAAATGGGTGTGTATGGCACCAGAAGACGTGTACAAGAATGCTAACAGCAGCCCGATTCCAAACAACCAAGAACTACCAAAAGACTCCACTGTCTACTATGAAGTCAGAATGGAAAAATGAGTTGTGCTGTGCTCATGCAACAGAAGAGTGTACAAGGAAAATGCTACAGGCAACTTCAATGCATCTCGCAAACATGTCGAATGAATGCCAGACAACAAAACAGTCCATATGTTTGGTTCCCAAAAGTACAAAAAGTCCAAACTAATCTATGTTGCTAAAAGTGGTTTCCCTTAGTAGTGATGAGAAGGAGAGGCCTTGGCAGTGACTTCAAGGGACACTATTGAGACTTCTGGGACACTGGTAATGTTTTACCTTGATTCTGATGTTGGTTAAGTGGATGTGTTCATCACACTGAATGTTTATGATTAGTGGACTTTTCTACATGTTTATATGTACCCTTTAATACTTCAGTGAATTTTTATAAAGAACAGTTTCATTTATATAAAGTTCAAAAGCAAGAAAAAAAATCTACAAGGCTGGGGCACCTGGCTGGCTCAGTCGTTAGAGCATCCAACTCTTGATCTCGGGGTTGCAAGTTCGAACCCCATGTTGGCTCTAGAGATTACTTTTTAAAAAAAGAAAGAAAAAAATCTATGAGGCTGAAAGTCAGAATACAGAAGTCAGGACAATAGTTACTTTTCAAAAGAGAAGTCAAGGTAGTGAATGGGAGGGGGCAAATGGTACCCTGGGGTGCTGGTAAGGTTTTAGTTTCTTATCTGGGAGATAAATAACTCTGTTCACTTCTAAAAATTCATCAGGCTGTGCCATTACAAATTACATAGTTTTCTACGTATATGTTGCACTTCATTTTTAAAAATCTTTAAAAAAATAAAAGAGTAAAAAAGAAAAGGAGAAGGATGTTATCAGAATAGTACACTCGGAAGCTCCAGGCGCCCCCTCCCCCTAGAGACACTGGGTTAACAATATACAGATTAGAATACCTTTGTGAGAACTCCAGTGACCAGCTAAGAAGCTTCAGGCCTCAGGCCAGCATAAAACCAAAACAAAATTCCAGCAAAAGGGGTAGGAAAATTCATGGGGGGCATTTTGCATGCCCACTCAGGCCCCTGCCCCTGCCCTCATCCAGCATAGAGCAGTACAACCAGGAGGAAACTTCCCATCCTGGGCTCTGCCCCTGGGATGGAAACAAAAGAGTAGATTGTACCTCCGATGCTGTGGCTGGTCTGGGGGCTGCCCAAGGTATTGGTTTCTGTCTCACCTGACTCAGTACACTGATGGGACCAGCAGAGTTTGAAAGTCACTAAAAACAGAGATAAGCACCAGAACACATTGGACCTACGGGTGCAGTCAGATGCCAGGAGCAGAAGGAGATCCTAAAAGTTTTGGGAGGTCCTAGGCCCTCTAGCTGGGCTGACTGGTGAAGGTCTTCCCCTGCACAAAACCAGTACATAAAGACTGGGAAAGGTGGTTGTTTTCTCAAATGCCACATCTCAACAAAAGATCACAAGGCATAGAAAGAAACAGGGAAATGTGGCCCAAACAAAGGAACAAAATCATCTCCAAAAACTGACCCCCCCCAAAAAATGCAATCTATGTGCTACCTAACAATGCATTTAAAATAATGGTCATAAAGATGTTCAGTCGGCTAAGAGAGAACACACACAACTAAATGAAATCAGGAAAATGATGCATGAATGAAATGAGAAGAATATCAACAAACTATAAAAAAGCAGCTAACAAGTTCTGGAACTGAAAAATATAGTAACAGCTGAAAAGTTCACTAGAGGGGTTTTATAGCAGACTTGAACTGACAGAAGAAAGAATCAGCAGCATGAAGACAGGTCATTTGAAATCACCTCATCAGAGAAGCAAAAAGAAGAAAGAATGAAGAAACATGACAGAGCCTAAGGGGCCTATAGGACACTCGTCACGCTATATATTAAGAGTCTCAGAAGAAGAGAAAGAGAGAGGGGCAGAGAGATTATCTGAGGAATTAATGGCTTAAAACTTCCAAAATCTAAGGAAAGAGAAGACATACAAATTCAAGCAGCTCAAAAAACTACATCTAGGACAAATGCAAAAGCCTCACACCAAGGCACATTATAATCAAACTGCCAGAAAGCCAAAGACAGTACCCTAATAACAAACTACCAGAAAGAAAAATTAAGAAAAACCCATTTATAATTACAACAAAAAGAATAAAATACTCAGCAATAAATGAATCAAGGAGGTAAAAGACCTGTAGAGTGAAAACTATAAGACACTGATGAAAGAAACTGAAGAATAAATGGAAACATATTCCATGCTGTGGATTGGAAGAATATTGTTAGAATGCCCAACAAACCAAAACAATCTCCAGATTCAGTGCAATCCCTATCAAAATTCCAATGACATTTTCCACAGAAATAGAACAAACAATCCTAAAATTTGTATGGAACCACAAAAGACTCCAAATAGCCAAAGCAAACTTGAGAACAAAGCTGAAAGCATCATGCTACCTGATTTCAAACTATATTATAAAGCTATGGTAATCAAAACGGCGTGGTACTGACATAAATACAATACCTAAAACAATGGAACAAAATAGAGAGCTCAGAAAGAAACCCATGTTTACACGATCAACAAATTTATGACAAAGAAGCCAAGAATGTACAATGTAGAAAGGACAGTCTCTTCAATAAATGGTGTTGGGAAACTGGACAGCACATGCAAAAGAATGAAACTAGACCACTATCTGACACAATACACAAATATACTCAAAATGAAGTACAGACTTGAGTGTAAGACCTGAAACCATAAAACTCCTAGAAGAAAACACAGGAGATGAGCTCCTTAACATTGGTTTCAGTGATGACATTTTGGATCTGACACCAAAGCAAAGCCAACAAAAGCAAAAATAAGCACTACTACATCAAACTAAAATGCTTCTGCATGGCAAAAGAAACTGTCAACATGAGGGTGCCTG